TTTAAGCGCTAAAAATAAAGAGTTGCGGAGTGTCAGGCAGCAGGTGAACATACAGGTAGCAATATTAAAATTATTATTAAATAATTATTTATTAATAAATTAAAGTTTTAAAACAACTCGAAGCAGTTTATCAAAAATGTTTATCTTTTGAACTGTATAGTTGTCAATGCATAAATGATCTTATTTGGGACCCCTGTGTTCCAATTTAGTTTTTTTAGCGTACAATGAAAACATGTAGAAAGTAAGAAAAACCTTATGTCTCCAACTGGATTTGAACCTAGTGCCTTGGAATACGAATGCTGGCACTTCAACTATTGTTCCCTGACAAGTGCCTCTTATCTCCTGTGTAGGAACCTTTGTGGTGCTCATTCATTTTCTGTAGATGGCTCGTCTTCTTGGAATGGAATCCCATTTACCACGTGAACTCAAATTGGTTTGTCATTTCAAATCTGGACATAAAACTTTTTATTTCAGTTACTTTCTTAAGTTCATGTTTTTATTTTATGTTCATTGTTTGTCTTTTTCTTTCGTTGGCATTACTTGCATTGTAATTTTGAGACAGAAATATCTCCATATTATGGATATATGCACCATTTAAGTCTCTCATTGATTGATCCAGCTCTGTTTTATTGTACATTTATAATTCTTAGAGAAAATAAAGATTAGTGCAGTCCTCACCTAACATAGTATGCTATTTTCTAAATTATCTAGTATATTTTGTAATTATCCACATTATAATGTGTATATTTTTATTGTTTATACTTTTTATGCGATAAAAGAAGACAATGTATACACTCAGCCTGTTTTCAATTAAAATCCCCTTCATTTACTAATTCCCCTTCTCTAAGTTACCCTATCCAAAACAAAAGCATTGTCAGGTATTTATTACTGCTGACCCCTTTTCTTATCTGTTATACACTGCTGTGCTTGCATAAAATGTATCAATTGACTTTTCTTCTATATTAGTGATGTACAGAATTTATTTTGTGCCTAGGGAACAATATCTTTTGCTACAGTTATCACATATCAAATAATTAGGAAAATTGATAAAGAAAATAATTTTTTTCCCCATTCTAAATTAAATGGTACTCTTTCAAATGTTCCTTACCACTCAGCTTACCCAAATTAGTTGGTGGGTATGTATGTGATGTCAAACTAAAAACCAACACTAATTGGTGCCCTTGACTCCAGCTAGCTTCAACTCAGTTTTACTTTGTTGTGGAAGTGGCCAGAAATAATTGGTTATGGAGGATATTATTCATAGTTATATTATGTTAATACCCTGCAATATACAGTACTAGTAGTTAAATGTAGAGCTATGATATTTTTAATGTATGATATATTGAATCAAAATGGCAGGGTGGCGTAAGTGGGATCTGGTGAGCTAGAGAAAGCTGATCTACCCACGCCGCATACAGCGATCTTAACACAATTCGTCGCAGGCTGAGATACTATGTAATTTTTACAGATTATGAGATTGAAAAAGCCTTTAAAATCCATAAATTGTTGGAGCTTCCGAGGGCTTCATCCCTGGACACCCGCTTAGTGGTCCTGGGTGGCCCTGACCATTGATCGCTTATGTTGTTGTTGTTGTTGTTGTTGTTGTTCTTAATATTATTATTAATAAAAACACATAACATAATCCAGAAGCATAATATATAAATATGTATTTTTTATTTGGATAGATAGTATAACATTTGACAAATAAATGTTAAACCACACTTATATGTTAAGCTCTCACTTGCATTCTCATTAATAAATTTGTTTTATGTTTAGAGGAAAGGAAAGCAGTCTGAATCTACCCTTAAATACAAAACATACACATAGCATTCAGGATAAGAGAGGAATATGATCAATTTTTAATGCTAACAAAATCATATTATTTCTAATTCAATATTATGGATTTTTCTCCAAACAGTTTCTGTTTACTCTGAAATGTCATTGAGCTTTTTTAAGCATATGTTAATATATTGATTATGATCTTGGATTAGTTACACACAAGGAATAACATTGGTACTGATCCAAACCAAACTGTTTAGGCCAGACACTGTCTATTTTCAGTTTTCAATGTCCTTGCCATTCTGACTCAGATAGCTTGTGTGGTAATTGGGACGTCAACAAAATCAGGGGGGGTCTTCCACTAAGCCCTTATACTGTCTGTAAATATTTTGTTAATGGGTAGATACAGACTGCCTTCCCCTCCTCTAAACATGAAAAATTATATCATGCATGCCAGTTAGTAGTAGCCTGGCACATACATACAAGTATGTTTGAATGTTAAATTATAAGAATGATACTATATTTTTTCCAATGAAATGCACCCAATATAAGAAGGCAACAGCGATAAGTGACAGTTGGGAATGTTTGGTACTTATTAGTTCCTCAGCATGTCCCAATTAATCATGTAATTTGAGAATAAATTTGATTAAATGTTTCAGTTCATTAGTTGTTAGATTGTTGGTTTTTAAAAAAATATTAATGAAATGTTTTAGAAATTGCAAATTGTATTATTAAAACAAAATGTTAATTATCAGTTTATTAAGATAATAAAAATGTTTATTATATACAAACTATAATTATTATTATTATATTTATATAAGAGTGATGTTTTGTCCTACCTTACATGTTATCGTACTGAATATTCAGTACATTCCCAAATACTTGTAAAAAAAATGGCAAGTGATTCAGATTACTTACGAATATTCTCACAATTTGGGAACATACTAAGTATTCGGTACGATAACACGTCAGGTAGGGTAAACATCACTTCTATGATATTTTCCTGACTTACTTCAAAATATTGTATTTAAATTTTGAAAAATGGGGTATGTATAGAATTATTTTTTTGCATGGTATATTCACTGCCAGAAATTATTATTTTTGACATGCATTAAGGTTAGAAACCCAAGGTCATCCAGTTCCTAGAATTCAAGGGCCATACATTGCACAACCGGGGAAACCAAGTACTGCACCATGCTACGACTTTCAGGTCCCTGGATTGGAAACCATGTGGTGTCATGCTCTGTGTTATTGTTGACATACATCCTGTGCTCATGCAGTGTGCCAAATAAAGAATATGACATTTTACAAATGTGAACATTTACAAACGTACATTCATTATATATGTTGCCGAAACATCTTTGAACTTATTATATTTATGAAAACTGGTGCTATATAAATATTTTGATTGATTTTGTAATTAAATATTACAGTAGTAGAATAACATTTTTAAAAATGGTTGCTAAAATATTATGAAATATTAAAAAAATAATGTATAACATTGCTGCCCCAAAACTGCAATGGCCTTTATAATGTCTTCATATTTTCATTTTTCATATTTTGTATTGAACTACTCTTTTATATGGTATCATCGTTTAAATGTCAAATGTTGTTATTCTAAATGAATGTTGCAATGTAATTTTTTAATCAGCAATTTGGTTTTTTAGGTGTAGGGTTCACAAAATGTAAACCAAGGTGGCCAAAACTAGGCACTTGCCATAAAAAATGAAAATGAGTCTTCAACTTAGCTAAATGCAAGTAAGGCCCATCTTAATACATGTGGGACTAGAAATATAAATTATTCTGTCTTTGCCATTTGATATCCAATTTTATTGATTTATGCAAGAACTATTTGATTTTAATTAATAGTTTACAAAGACCAATAGAATAATTATTTGAGGAAAAAGTACAGCATGTTTTTTTTTACTAGAGTTTTGCACCTGTAGCTGATGGCCTGATAGAGCAATGGCCTGTTAGTAACTTCCTGCACAGAAACAAAATAAAGATTTTGACTTCTTTTAATGTGACCTTCAAAGGGTATCTTCGTTCAGATTTGTAATCACTAAATCTTACAATTTCTACGAAACTGATATTTATGCTTCAAAAGTGATACTAGATCACTTAATAGATAGTATTTAATTAGACCAAATTTTTGTAATATGATAAAAGTAAATACTTTTGAGTGTTGCATTAATAGTCAGTCTTTAGAGTACAACATAAGCAGCACTTTTATTTATTTTTTATTTATTTATTATCCTGTCCAAAAGCCAAGACAAAATTCGCCATTTGCTGGTGGGAACACAAATGAAAAACAGATACATAATAAATATTGTAAAATTGTAGTACTACTACCACCATTAGTAATTCTCCAGGTTTCATTAGTTAACATTCAGTTCACTTTTTAGTTTTCCTCTTTCTTTTAATGTTTTTATGGACCATTTTTTGGGGTGGGGAGCGGGGTTTGTTTTACTGTTTTACTGTAGTGTATTTTGTATTGTATTTCTTGAGAGAGAGAAATAAATGAAATAAATCCTCATGTTTATTTATATCTTCACTAGCTCATTCAAATGATCTTTATTCACATAGAAACTCATTTCAGAATTAGGATGTAACTAATTTCAAAGTTGCGAATAGTGGTAATTAAAAGCTCTGTCTTCCCTTTGTGTAGTTTTGTCAGATCCGAAGAACTTAGGTAGTTGATGGTTGCTTATGTGTTTTTAAGATAATTGAAATATGTGTATTTGAAGTGTATGACAAATTAAGAAGGCAATAATTTGTATGTATAGTATTTAAATACTAGAAATGGAAGATAGGAACCCTTACAAGAAAATGGACCAAATGACGACTCACAAAGTTAGGATACTCAATCATTGAAAAAGACAAGCATGCAAAACAGTTTTTTGGTGAACCATCATAGAAACCTCACAGCAGGTTGATGGAATAAGGGAATATTATTACAGGTTGTATTCACCAAGATATCTGATGAGATGACTCGTACCTGGCCGAAGGAAAAAAAATTATATTTTTTTGGATGACAGTCAATATGTTAATGTTATAATTTCATAATTTTATCTCAATCTTCATATCTACTTTGTGAATGCTTGTTTGGATGAACCTTTTCGGAACTTACCATCCAGCTAAGAATCTCAATCATAGGCTACGAAGTCAATGCTCATTTGTAGTAATTCAATATATTTTTTGAATATTTGTATTTCTTACAGAAATCAATGCGAGAAGAGGATGGATTAGCAGTGGAAGAAAAAGCGGCCAAGATTAAAGAATGGGTGACCCAGAAATTGTCAAATGTAAGTGCAATCTTTTGGAATGCAAATGTCATCAACTGTAAAGTAGGAAATACTCTAATTACATCAATTCTTTATCTTCATATATGTCTCTTCTTGTTTTTCTTTTGTTTTAATTACGTCATTCAAACCAATTGAAAAAAGATAGTTATACCCACCTGTCATTTATGTTTAAAACTTCTTTCATAGTTTTTATGTCTTTCTTTCTTTTTGTAAAGTCTTGTCTCCAATTCATCCCTGAGTTATGTCATATGAAATTTAATTACGTTGTCTCCTTCTATCATACTTCTATTTGTTTCCTTTTAAGTTCATGAATATTTTTTTCCATGTACCATTTTGGGTGCTTGATTAGTCAAAGATAATATAAACTGCTGAAAGCTTTGGTTGTATTGTAGTTGCTTTTATATATTTAGTAGTATGCTGTATATATCACTGTAAAATCACAAAAAAAAGTATTTCACTTGATTTTTAGTACTCAATGGCCTATATTCAATGGCTGCTTATTCTAACTTCAATTTTTTTTATATTATTTTCTATATTTAATGTAATGTCTTTTCTCATAAAGCTGTGTAACAATAGCACTAATAACTTTATTTTCGTATCTTGCCAATTTAAGGTGCATGCACCATCTCTTACAACTGTTGCAGTGCCATATGAGTAGCCTATCTACTAGAAATTGCAAATTGCAAGTGAAGTGCTGCGAAGTACAACTGCATTTAAATGTTCTTCAAACAAAATTATTTATGCGAGTCAAGTGAAAATAATGAATAATAAAAATATAACAAATAATATGAGACACAACCCATTGTCTATATTAGAACACTTCTCATTGGGTAACAAAGTCGTAATTTTTCATTTTTGTCAAAAAGTGTCTATAGTGGTGAATTATGGTTTAGGTTTTTTTTAATAAAGTTTCAAAAGTTTCTATGTTGTGGAAAATGTAGTTGATTACCACAGGTTACAATTTTTATTTTGAAGACTGCATGGTCTAGGAAGTGTACATTTTTTTATGGGGCAAGTTTCCAAGGGCGGGTTTTCTAGGGGCGGGTTTTCTAGGGGCGAGTTGACTGCCAAAGAGTGTTGCCAAAGTGCGAGCCAGCGTGTTATTTGATCACAAGTGCGAGACATATCACAAGTGTGAGCCAGCGAGCCATGATGTCACGACAATAGATAGAGACATTAACGAGTTGTGCGAGGTATCGGCTGAGATTTGTGGAGCACAATTCAAAAAACAACTATAGGTCTAATAATGAATTATTGTGATGTTAAATAGACAATGTTAGCTATCAAAGAGCGACATTGTTTTTCATTGGGACCTTCATCCCTTCAGGGCTAGGCCTATACCATCCTAGCTAGTCTAGGCCTAGAGTAGGATAAGGCTAGCGCGACATGCGGACGTTGGTACGAGTAGGTTAGTCTACAAATGTCGCCTAAATATTTGATTTTACCCGGCAGAACGAAAGAAGGAAACTCCGCTTTTCAGTCGTCTTAGGCCCTTGTTTTTTGACAAACAATGACCTTTCAGAGGTCAAATTGCTGTCAAGAATATGAATTGGCTGCTTCGCAGCAAAAACTAAGAAACGCTAACAAACTATCACAGTATAAGTGTTGTAAGGAAAGATTTAAAAACTCAACATTCCCCATTTTAATTAAAAATGACTTAGTGTAATCAAATCAATAATGATATTGTGATAATTGTTTATCTTTTTCCCACAAATTTTAATAATAAAGTTAATACCGCAATATTGCTCCTTTTCCTCAATCAAAATAAATTAATGTAAAAACCAAAGATGATTTTGTGACAATCGTTCTTTTTTTTTTCAATTGATTTTAATGTATTTTTTAAGGCTGATTTAATGTATTTTTTGAGATGGTTATAATGTATTTTTTAAGACTAATATAATGTATTTTTAATGATTGCTTTTATAAATTTCGTATATAATGTATTTTTTTTTAGATTTTTTGTAAATTGACTCAATTCAGTTTTCTACTGCAATGTCCAATTTTTAATAAAAACCAGAATAAATTAATAAATAAATGAACGAACGAACAAATACAATGACCTTTAAGAGGTCAAATTGCTGTCAAGAATATGAATTGGCTGCTTCGCAGCAACAGTGTTTGCATGGTGAATTGACAATAATTTTTGTATGTACCATATGGTGTACTGAAAGTATAACAACACATTTTTGAAGAATTTGTTTCATTATTAGAAAAAATATCTCCTTTTTATTTATAATCCTCTACATTCTGCAGGATATATGCCAACAAATTACATAATTCCAACATTCATTTTTTCCAAGTATAATATTTCTGGCTTAAAACATTTAGAAATAAGTTAGGATTAGGATTGTCAAATACCTTATGGCAGTTGCATTTTGGTTGTTTAGCAAAATGAAATGATAAAGACAGTAGACCCCATTGGAAATAAATTATCATATATTTATTATATAAGTTGTCCATCCATTTTTTGTCTAAACAGGCAAGTTTCTTTTTTGATCTCTTTTTTTATTTATTGTTTTCATTGTTATTTTATATTGTATTATATTTTACTACGAAGAGACGAAGGTCATTGCAGTGTGCGTGTCAGGCTGTCTGTGTGTGTTCTTCTGAGTGCATAACTAAAAAATTACTTTACTGATGTGCTTCAAATCTTCACACATTGACAATGTTACGTATATCTCGGTCCTCCCTGAATTTGGTGCTGATCAGAAGTAAGATGCAAATTTTAGAATATTTTCTGGCCGCAACAGACAGTTCCAACTTGAAGGAATCGTTCGACCGAGTCGTTTGGATATGCTGATCCGACTCGAGCGGACCAACACGGGCCAACTTGAGCAGATCGAGTGTGTTGTGTGTCAAATTCTGGCTGGTGGACTGGAAGTGATCCGGAAGGCATGCAAACTCCCCCAGTTTATGGACTTGCCACGCAAGGCCTGTGATGCTAGGCCTCGTTTGGCTGATGGAGTGGATCGACCTCAGGCCATTATTTTTTTAGTACATAAATATGGCAAAACAGGGCGAGGGCTTGTAATCTCGGATTATCATGTTATATATTGTTTTCATTGTTACTTTATATTGTATTTTATTTGATATGAATTGATGCTAAATAAATGCAGTAAAAGTTAAATTCTTGTTACAGCAAGGATTTGTAACAGAATACATAGTTATACAATGCATCTTGACAATGTTTTTATTACTTTTTTTTATTTGAATACCATAATAATAAATCATAAGATTCAAGTAGTTATTTGATTAAGTAGTCTTCAATTGCAATTGGTTTACAACATGCCGGACTTCATACCTTCATTCTTTGTCTTCGTTGTTTACGACAACAAGTTTATCTAGGTCAACTCTCTAAAACAATTATCACAGGCCTCTGTATTGATTCACAAATTAAGTATATCCCTCATGCTTACTTAAAATAATTCAAAGTTTAAATTGTTAACTTTCTCTTTTCTATAGAATGAAGTTTAGCAGATTCTATTGTGAAACTTGAAATATAATTTTATTCTCCTGTGTGCAGTTTCGAAGTGAAAATAAATGTTTACCATCTTTCACAAAGTCCATTGTAAACTCATTAAGGGTTTAACAGCAAAATGAAAGTATTTAAATTAACTAAATGTTTGAGAGGATTAAGTCAGCAAATTCCTACGATTAATAAACACTGCAATATGCTATTGTTGTTTATGATGTCAACATGAAGAGAGGCAATTTTACCTGCAATAATTTTTGTTGCTTTCTCTTTTCATAAGTTATTAGCTTCAAAGAAAATCTGACCTTAATTATTATTATTTAAAAAGGACATTCACTTTCCTGAGAATTCCAGATTAAAAGTTGAGATTTCATGGAATTGTTAATTTAAAAACCGGATGACTTATTTTAATTATTTTGTTTTTCTGTTTTTTGGAACTTTTTTGCGCTAGAAAAGGCCTACTAATTTCACATAAACCTGTTTCTACACTAGAAAAGCCCAATGTCACTAAACCTGAAGTTTTCCAAATTTGAAAAGTTGTTGAAGTTTTTATTAACTCAACAGGTGTTTTAAGTATTAAGAATTCAAAACGGAAACACTCAGACCTTTCAACATAATAAAGGATGCCTTCAAAATTTGCACTTTTTCATTGGAACCTTGATACTTTGGCATAAATCCCATGGGATACACTTCTTTACTATATACTTTTTTACCATATCCTTTAGAACTGTCAACTATTTTAATTGAACCTCAGAAGTGTATACATTTTCAGCTTTGTATAAATGTCCTGTAATGGGTTTCAAATGTTTCATACGTTTGTAAATCATATATCTTTTGAGACATTGATTAATGGCTAAATTCGTCTGGCATCTTACCACTACTCTGGATGTACATTCTATTTATAAACTATTAATGTACGTATGAAGATGCCCATGGGATAAGATACATCCATTTGCAAAGATTGTTTGTCAGAGTTTGACGGCTTTTGATGTAGAACATTCTTAATGTCTCCAAATAAAGTTTTGTTGAAAGATATACTTTGTCTGTAAAATCTCTCGCTTGAGGTTAAAATACACAAATTGTTTAGTTGATACAGCAAGATTTTTCTTATAAAATGTGTGATTAAAAGAAAAAGGTATTTGAACAATTTAGACAATATTATAAAAATTTAATATGTATTATAAGAGGATTATGAGTTTAAGATGAACATAATTATTTTTCTACTCTCTCTCAAATTTGTAATAATTAACATGCTTATATTTCTACTCTCTTCCAAATTTGTAATAATTAACATGCTTAAATTACACATTTTAAAAATTCTCTTTTTAGGCAATATTGCTTCATGATTTTAGATATGCTATCAATTTTCTATATTGAAAATTATCCTTCTTCACCAGACAAATATTTCTTAAGATTTTCAATGTATTTTCAATTTGATACATTTATTGGACAAATCTTGTGATAAAGTGTATTTTTTTCATGTATTTTTAAAAGAGTAGCATTTTAATTATTACTCAGCAATTTCCAT